GGCTGATCTATGTGCTGCTTGGAAGGCTTGGGAGAATGAACTGCCCAATCTTCAGCTCATTTCTATGCCAAGATGCTATACTCCAGAAGAGAGAGCTGACCAAATTTACCACCTGCATGTCTTCTGTGATTCCTCTGAATGGGCTTACGGTGCTGTTGTTTACCTGATCAGTGAATCTGGGGGTGACTATCACAGCAGTTTTGTTATGTGTAACCCATGTTAAAATATGACATAAATACTTGAACAAGAACTGCATAAATAAGTTTGAAAGATAAAAGTGATTCATTTAATGTCATTTACTTCATCAGAGTTAATTAAAAAATGTTAATACAACAATCATTTAATGTTGAAGATTAAAAGTCTGTTGACAGAAAATAAAGTCGCTGCCCCTTTAAGGGACCAGCGACACAGACGCAGCACCTTAGTGACGCTGCAGCACACAGACCTGAGGGAGAGAGCAGAGGAGAAACCGGAGGAAACGAGCGGTGATTAATTAGCAGGAAAAGCAGTGAAAAAGTCGATATTACAGTTGAAAAACATAACTTACCTGGTCGGGAACTGACGGGGATTTTGTGAGAGCTTACTGAATCAGCTCCTTGTCTTGTAAAACCATATACGGAAAAAACCCAAGCACCCTCACAGAAAGAAGAAGTTTCATGACTTGGTGCATATATGTAACTTCCTTTATCTTTTAAGCCTTAAGGACTATACTTCACCCATTGTATAATATATTTATACACAACAGTACACTCTAAATTTACCTACCAAGAGGCAGAGTTCGCCCTACTCAAACAGAGTCAAGCAGATTCCTTTCTTCAAGAGCTCAAGGCATTAATAGAAAATAAGTCTGTGCCTATCAACAGTAAACTTTGTTCACTTGCTCCTTACCTTGAAAAGACCATAGGTCTCATCCGAGTTGGTGGGAGGCTGCGCAACTTATCGGGATCTCCGGATGTTCACCCAATTGTGCTGGATCATTCTCATCCACTCACTAAGGCGCTGAGCAAAGATTTTGATGAACGTCTGCTCCACTCTGGTTCGGAACGTGTTTTTTCTGAGATTAGACGTCATTACTGGATACTACGTGGCCGGCAGGCTGTGAAGCGTCACCAAAGTTCCTGTCCTTCATGGCGTGCTGCACCGAGAGTACCTCTCATGGCCAATCTTCCGCCCGCCTGTCTCCGGCTGTTGAGCCTGCCATTCTACTCCACAGGAGTCGACTGCTTCAGGTTAAAGCTGGGTGCCGTACAGAGAAGTGTTGGGGAGTCATATTTAAATGTTTAACAACCAGAGAAGTTCACCTGGAGCTCCTCACTTCTTTGGATTCAGATGCCTTCCTCCTTGCCCTCAGGAGATTCATCTCTCGTCGAGGCAAACCCATGGAGCTGTTTTCAGACAGGGGCACTAATTTTCATGGTGCTGAAACAGAACTCCAGGAATCCTTTCAGGCGATGGAACCACACTTGCAGAAAAAACTTGGCCCTTACCCAATCACCTCAGGTTCAGCCCTGCTAATGCTCCACATTTTGGTGGGATTTGGGAAAGGGAGATTAGATCAGTTAAATCAGCCCTCCAAGTGTCCATTGGCCACCAACCTGTCGCTGAGGATGTTCTCTCTACAGTACTCACTGAAGTGGAAGGAATCCTTAACTTGAAACCTTTGGGATACACTTCTTCTGATCCAGTAACCCCCAACATCTTGCTGATGAGGCGGCGTGATTCCTCCCTGCCACAAGTCACCTATGTTCCAGAGGTTATGGGGCGGCGGCGTTGGCGTCAGAGCCAAATCCTTGCTGACCAATTTTGGTCACAGTTCATCCACAAATATCTTCCTATGTTCCAATTGAGGCACAAGTGGATCACCTCTGCAGTAAACACGAAGGAGAACAATGCAGTTCTTGTGATGGATCCCCAGTTGCCTTGTGCTCAATGGCCTGTTGGCAAGGTCACCGAAGTTCATCCCAGTCCTGATGGCCGAGTACGTTCTGTCGATGTACTTATCCAGGACAAAATCTACACCAGACCAGTCGCCCGGCTCATCCCTCTTCCTGTCATGCCACGTTGAGGATCAGAATTTGCTTGAATGCACAGTAGCCGTGCCACTGTGGGGGCGGCTGTTACAAATTGTGTCCAAACTTTTGACTGGTACTGTACATCTGCAGCCTTCTTTGGTACATGTGTAACAGCTAACAGCGCTGACCCGGCTGCAGTGGGAGTATTGGGAGTGCAGCCTGATGTTGTTCCCCGAGTCATGGCTTAACGAACTCACTCCGGACTCGCTCGTAACTTTGGCATTTTAACCTGGTCAGAGCGGACCGGAGCTGGAGGGAGAGTGGGAAAAAGAAAGGCTGGGGACTCACCATGTATGTGAATGAGAGATGGTGTAATGCTGGCATGTTAGCGTTAAAGAGCGGCGCTACACGAAGGATGTTGAACTGCTAGTAGTTAGTTTGCGGTTGTTTTACCTGCCAAGGGAGTTTTCGCATGTCCTGGCGATTGCAGTTTACATCTCCCCCTCAGATAATGCTGCCGTGGCCTGTGAACTCATCTATAGTTCAGTGTCCCAGCTGCAAACATCACACCCTCAGTCTCTGATCGACATCTCAGGAGACTTCAATCATACATCGCTCTCTACCACTCTCCCCACATTTCAGCCAGTATGTGGATTGCCAAACCAGAGACGGTGGGGCCTTGGATCTGCTGTATGCTGACACTGGGATGCATATTACTTAATTATTGTTGTTTTCTTGTACTTTCTATATTTTTGGATGCTGCTTGTGGTGTGTAAATTTCCCCCAATGGGGGATCAATAAAGTATTATTCTATTCTATTCTATTCTATTCTATTCTATTCTATTCTATTCTATTCTATGTGGCCTGTATAGATTAACAAGAAGTCAGTGGAGTCTAAGGACAGAAAGGTTTATGCTGTGATTTTGGGCTTTAAATGCAGGAGCTATACAGTACATACTGGTCATAACCAGGGAACAGAAAGTGTGGCCTTTTTCAAAGTTTTGTACACTACCATAATACTTTGGTGCAGCATAACACATGCACTGTGGGACACAAGGTCATGATAATAGGGTTTCATGGGCTAATGATGTCATTCACGTAGACAGGAGGGTGCTAACAGCTTAAAGGCTAGCTTACAAGGTTGATTGATGTGTCAGCAGCTTGAAGATGTGAACAAAATGCACCCAATGTGTTGCAAACTGTCCTTTCACAATTTATATTTCTTGTAATGAGACCAAACAGCAGGTAGCATCAGCATCCAAGTGATTTTGAAGAGATAATCATTAGCAAACTAGCTAACAGGAGGGGCCTTGTGCCTTCCCCAGATCGCAAATGAGGTCATGAACTGCAGCGATAATCAGTAGGGTAAGTGTTGCTCAAATATACAGATGGGGGATAAATTAGAAAGAGAACCTAAAATCTTGATTTTTACAGTGAGGGGATCTGGTGGCTCTTTTATGCTGTGGTGGTCATTTTGCTACAATGGTTTGCCCCACTTGTCACCGCAAATCAACACAAAGTTATTCTGAGTGACCACCTTTATCCAATAATGAAACATTTCTATCATGATGGGAGTGCTCTTTTCCAGAATGACAACCTTAATTAAACATCTATAGGAGATTTTGGACTGACCGTCCAAAAAAACCCCAAATGTGAAATTATCTTTTGCAAGAATGGTGTCACATCGTTCCAGGAGAGTTCTAAAAACTCAATGAAGCTGTTCTGGTGGCACATCGTGATTCAACACCCTACTCATACACTTTTCTGTTTTTGTTTTTTTTTAATCCTTTAATTTGTAACCTGTGTGTATTAAGTCTCTACTAAGATTCACATGAAAACAAACACGCAGTATTATACAAACTGTGACGCACGCTTTTGACTATTTACTTTTGAACTCAGCAAAGTGTCAGAAAGGAAAAATTCTGCTCTCCTCAATAAAAAAAAAACATTTTAACTTACAAATAAATAAATTGCATGCACATACATATATGCAAATCAGAGCAAAAGTTCTTTTTTTGTATTTTTAAGTGAAGATTAAAGAAACTATATTTTTGTTTGATTTCTGATTTCTAAATGGTTGTGGACTAAAAAAAAAATGTATGTTGTTTACTTCCTCCCTTAAAAGATAACACACAAATAAACATTTTTTTTTTATTTCTTGCTTTATTAGATCAGCAGCAGACTAAAAAGGTTTTCACAGTACACAGGGCCTAGTCTGTCACAAATAAAATGACATCCTACATTATAAATTTTAATTGTTTATTCCCTGAACATTTGAACTGAATAAGGGCTATTTTTAATACAACTCTTTTTTTTCTTGTCTTTTTTATATTCATATTAAATTAGGCACATTTAGGCATAGTGGAATTCCGTTTTCCTTCAGGAGCATTTGTCCTGGCTCTCATTTTAGCTGTTATTTATTTTGCCTCTCTTACACTCTCTTTCACCAATCAAAATGTCTCTCTTTTTTTCAAAAGCATAGTTATTGCTCTCTGTTTGACTCCCATCTACCGTGAAAGTGTTTCATTTCACTAATGCAGAAGTGAAACCAACTCCATTTAACAAGGGAGTCTCACTGAATACTCTCGGGGCCGTGGGAATAATCAAAACACTGCGAGAGCCAGCAAGGAATAAAAACTCCAGTTAAGAACAAAGGAAATGGAAATCAATGGCAGGATATGCAGATTTATTTGACAGCTCGACGCGCAATAATCTTTTGGGAGTTTGCCCTCTCCTGCCTTTACCAGGTTAAAATAACAACTAAGCAAGGAAAGAAAAAAAAGAACGCAGTATGTTGAATAAAGGGCACAGGATCACACCTACTTAGTTTTGTGTGAAGGTGTTCCAGAACAATCAATAAGAAATGTACTGCATTACAAGCAAGGCCGAGTAGCCCAAGGCATGGTCATATCTTTAAGTGCGCGCAACCAACCTCAGGAATTCATTTAAAGCTTAACACTGTGTTATTTAAAAGCTGCAGCTTATGTTTTATGGACAGTTGTCGGTTTGACGACACTTGAGGAGCTTAAGGAAAGTCTCCATCTTATGGGCATCTTTCTTGAAGCAGCTGAGCAAAGTATAGTCTCTCATAACAGATTCCAGCATCTCTGGCTGCACATCGTACTGGAATAAGCTTTGTTCACTGTCGGTTGTGGCCAACGTCCCCTCATCCAACATCTGCATAGCAAATTAGAAAACATGATAGAAATTGTCATAACAAAAGGAAAACATAAGAATAAAGCAAGAAGATTATAATAATTATTATTTCTGAATTGTCAAAATAACAGGAACTTGAAACCTAATTGATGATATTTTTGTTAGTTATTCCAAGCAGTAACTAATGTGTTAGGATTTAGTTACAAATAAGTGTCATCCTGAAATGTGATTTGACCCACCTTCTTGATGAGGACCACCACCCCTTGCTCCAGACTGATCAGTTTGTCAGACACCCACTTTGTCTTGTTGAGCAGCATATCAGGAGCGTGATCATAGCGATCCATTGTTGTCTGCAGGTAGACCAAAGGCTCGATCCATGACTGCACCAGCATCAGCACAGAGTGAAGCAACCATTTGTCCTGCAGACGCGTGGAAAAGTGAATGAATAAGCGACTTAAAACAGAATGTCTTCAAAGTTAAAACATGAAACATCTTACAACAACAATCTTAAAACATAAAAAAATACCACAAAAAAAGACACAGCTACAACTTGGACGTAGTCCTATGGAATAAATAGTCGTCATTTTTATAACTTCTGTAAGATAATAATCAACACAAGTGTTGAAAAACTTAACAGCATCTCTTTCGATCAGAAGCTTGTCAGCTGCAAAACATTCTGTAATAAAAGCAGGTTAAAGCTCCTTTAATTCCTCTGAGCAGACTAGACTCTACAGCAAGAGCAAATGACCATTGTACAAATGGCCATTAAACTGCAAAACAGGCAATATTCCAACAGAAAGGGCAGAGGATGAATGACTAAAATAAAGAAGGAGCTTGTAGTATATGCAGCTTCAAAGATCACATTTGCTATTATATGATGATATAACTTTTAACCATCAGCTTCAATATTGCTAAAAAATGAGTCGTTAAAGAAATTGCTGCTATATACTATGGCCTTTGTTAGTTGAAGGAGGACTATTGTAGAACAGCCAAGTCACCCTTCACAGGTCTTTTGCTAAGTGGCTCGATCTAGTTTCCAATCCAGTGACCAAGTTGACCTTTGTCCAAAAAAGGCTGTGCCCTGCTGGATAGTACTAACAACTTCTTTTAATGCAATTACTGCAAACGTCACATAATGGAGCAGCTTACAAGCAGCAAAAAGGAGGAAGGAAGAAGGATACATATGCATGTGCACATATATTAGGGCCACTCAGATCCACAAATGCAGACATACACAGAAACACAATCCTCTACACTCATTTAATGACACACAAACTGTACTTGTATTTCCTTTTTTTGTGTTGTGTACATTCACATAAGGAACCGTCTTTGTAATCATTGTACATGCATGGATACAAAAAACAAAAATGTACAAACACACATTACTGGCATTCTTTACAGATTAAAATCAAAACCCTGACAAGGAACATACTGTGACAATGTGCTTACAGATATCTGCTGGATTTCACTTTTGGAACTGGGCATGGGTAAGGCTTTGGTGATGCATGCGTAGCCGGCCTGGCTGCTCTGGAGCCGCAGAGGGAATGGGAGGAACATCTCCTCCTACAGAGAATTCAAAAACACAGATTTTATTTACGCTCTACTTTAAAAACTCAACAGCATCAGCAGCAGTCCTAAAATCTGTATTACCTTTTGGAATTCTGTTGGTTTTAGCCGGTGTTTTAGAATGATTACACTCTAGTCCTCAAGTTAAAAAAAAATACCTGTCTACCGAACAGGGGAGTAACATCATGGTAAGACTTTTTAAACTGATTTAAAAATCTCTGTACAGAAAGACATAACAACAACAAAAGCTTCAGCAGTGTTTGCCACTGGAGACACAATATGTTCTCCGGCATGCTCTCATCTGTAGACCCCATGCAGCTTATTCTCAATAACAAGCCATGCATCATCTCATTTCAAAGACCATTTTGACTCTAGAGCCTCCAACTAAAGAGGATTCAACAGGCTGGAAAACCTGTGCTTTCGTTGCACTATATCATTATGGCATTCATATTACCCCATAGCAGGCATGTTTCTTCAATAAAACCTTTTTGGTTCAGAGGAGAGATATAAGATTACTTTGACGCCTAGCAGTAAGGTGATGATCATGTCAGAATCAAAAGCCAATAACACAGAGTATCTAACAGAGATTGTAAGTGCCTCTGGTCCAGCATAGTGATAAAAAGGCCAACAAAAAAAAAAAAATCCTTTAGCTCTTGTGTTCCTGTGTAGTTTGGGGGAAATGGGGCCCATAGCTTGGATTATAACTGTTGTTTTAGCACTGACATGCAAAAAACAGTTACATTGCTCTCTGGATGACTCAGTTTTCTTACATAACAAGACATCTCTGTCCTATATAAAAAGTTATATTGGATTCAAACACACAATTCTGCATTGGTGTTGTGGTAGCCCTTGCCTAAAGCTATGTTTCAACAGCATTGGTTTTCAAATGCTGATTTCATATTTCATACATAAAATAAATAAATAAAATTATTTTATGCCCAACTGGCAAGAATATACCCCCTGTTAGTAATTTTCTTAGACTGCACTCAAGTTGAATCCTCTCTAGTTATAGTGTAAAAAACAAAACCCTGTCTTGTAAAGAAAAGTGATTTAGTTTCTCCTGAGATTATACAGACACAAAAAAAATCTTTGCCCTTGCTGTATTCTTTAAGAGCATGTGGATGCAGTGGGTTTGCTGAAGAGTTAAACGTTTATTTATTTATTTATTTAACAGTGTACCAGTGCCAGGATTTATTTTGGGTTAACGGTCAGTGGTACTTACAAACAAAGAGCACGATTCTTCTGAGACACGGTAGATGAGCTCAGCATGATGGATGACTCGGTCTAGAAGTTTCTCTTGGGAGATGGAAGTGCAGCCGGAGAGACTGCCCTGCTCTTCTTTACAGTCCAGTGGCATGCTTACAGTAAGGAGGGATGGCCAGAGCAATAGAGCCCATACACCCCTCTGGATGGCTGAAGACACAGACACAAAGATGTAACAAATGTTCATAAGTCAGCCATAAAGTGTGACATCGACAAGTCACAACTATATGACCATTCTTTGTCTCTATTGTTTGCTTTATTACAATTTAAATTTAAATCACTACTCATTTAAATCAAATAGTTACATTTATATTATGTCATATAGATATAAATATATCAGTAAAATTGCAAAACAGGTTCATAGCTACAGCAGATACCTTACCTGCCATTATGTGCATTCTGTCAGTATTCTTCAAGCTTTTTCTTGCCATTCTGTCATTCTGACTTCTTTATAAAGCCTGACCAGGCCATGAATAACGTAAAAGTCATTTTCATCTTGCGTATGTCCTTGTAAAAAGACACCAGTCTTGCCAGGACAACACATTTCTTTTCTTGTGCATAATACAAAGATGGTGAATATGGGCAGGCATACTAGGTACAAAGTCAAACCGTGTTACCAGGTTATGCATATGAATCACTCCAGTTGAAAATTGGGGCACCACCTTCTGTTTAGGGAAAACAGACTAAAGTAAAAGATCAGTCTCAAAATTAGTCTCAAAATACACTAAATGGTTAATTTGATACATTGACTAATAATTTTAATAACTATAACCCAGATATAGTAATTATAGCTAGACTGAAGGATTCACAAATTCTATGTACTAGTTCATCTAAAACAATAAAAAGAACTATTCCAAGCATTTATTTGTTTTATTTTGTATTCTGCAGCCTAAATTATTTTAATATTTGCTTGGAACAAAAGAAAAAGAAAAAAAAAAAGATGTGACAGAAATGTCCAGCTTTTGAAAAGTAAGTTAATTTATATATTCAATGCTTGGTTGGGGCTTCTTTACCAGGAATGACTGCACCTGTAGAAGAGGTTGGGACGCAACATGAACTAGACCAGCAGATATACACAAAACATTCATTAAAGTCAGTAAAAGCAAAACATACAATATTTGCACAATATTGTTACTACAAGTATTAAAAATAATTCCATAGTTTGTGTGTGTATATGTATGTGTGTGTGTGTGTGTGTGTGTGTGTGTGTGTGTGTCGGAAGCGCGCCAAAGACGATGTGTGTGTCCCTTTGTTCAGCCATCACCATGTTCTCAGGCATGAGCGTCCCTCTGCGTATTTTTAATCGGGGGTTCCGTTGGTCTGACCATCGGTGTGTAGGTTCAAATGTTTCCAAGATGAACAGCAGTCTTTGCTGTGGAGGTTTCTAATGCCACAGATCGGAGGAAACTGGCCTTTCATTTGTTCTATGCAGAGCTAGCAGCTCAGCGCTAATATGTTCTGTTGCTGCTGCAGTTAACGTGCAGACTTCTGCGCTTGGATGCCGGGTGAACTGACCCCACTTTAAAACAAAACAAAAAAAGTTTGGCCTGTCTCGCCCAACCAAGGCCGCTGAGCAAGATAGCATCAGGCAAGAGAACAGGGAGAGAGCAGCAGGTATGGGTTTGTTCCTGTGGTCCAGGTGTCATCTTACTTCAGGTTACCATACCATCAGTGTTGCTATTTACTTTTCAGAATAAAAGCTCCTTTAAATCCCACAAATGAACAGATTTATCAGTAAAGCACCCCGTGGTGCCTACATATTCCAGCTTTGGTCACATGTGTGATCCTGTAAGCACCTCATAGTATCAGTCTTTAGTTGAAAAGTTAATTTGTCTGCTCATTTAGTTGTGAAACAATTGGGACAGTTTATTAACTTGACTAAGCATGGAGATATTAATCAAGTTACAAACCTTGTGCTTGTGATGACACCAATGCAGTATTACCGAGGAGTTTGTCCATGCTTAAAAAGTCGAACAGTGGTGATTGAGTCCAATCCGAATTTAGACTTCTAAGCAAAATGTTTAGTAATTGCTGACTTTCAGAATTGTTGACTTTGCTCCAGCTGCTAGAATCTTCAACTTTATCTGACACATTTAGAAAAGTAAGTTGTCTTACTGTCAGAATAGGATTTTTTTTTGTTATAATAATATAACAAAAATGACCATGAGGAGTGAACTGTGGAGCTCTTGTGCTTTAAGGTTCTTCTTTTTTTTTCACCCATGGCTCAGGGCTGTAACACTTCATGTAGCCAGACGCAGAGACGCTTTCAGAATGTAAATGTTTTCTGAGCAGTGGTCAGAGAAGTTGTGGTCATCATCTGATGGGTCTAATTGCAGGTTATGATTTTGTCAACATTTCAGAGTACTTCTGTTGTGTGAATGCCCACACAGTTAGTGGACATGGCGGTTATGCGCAATGTCCTTATGGGGTCTTTTGTCATCCCACTTTGGTCTGTAATGAGGGCAACAGGTCTATGCAGTACATTTGTGTGACAGTGTTAGGGCTGGCAGGTTTAGTTGTTTTCTCCTTTGCTTTAGGAGTGACTTTCCTAAACCTTTCGTGTTGTTTTCCTGATCTCATGCAGTGAGGGGTTACCTTGGCGTGCCAATAACACACCATGAGTGTGCACACATGGATGCATGTTTTGAAAGAACAAAGACTTAGAAGTTCAGTTGTCTTCTAAGTCTGGTGCGTTTTTGCCTTGGAAATATGCAAGCCCCAGATGCTTGCAATAGTCTCTGGGATGCTCATGCTGGTATTGTTTATCTTAGAGGGCTGCAACCATTGATGCAGTCTCATCAGCAGGAGAAGAGAACTTTCCTGTTAGTGCGTGACAGAGGTCTTTGTAGTCATTTCTGACACTGAGAGGTTGACACTGGATAAACCCGTGGATGGCGCTGTTCTTCCACACAAGCAATTTCTTTTTTTTCTTTGGGGTGCATGGGGCAGGTCAATCAGGTTGCCATCCAGTTCCCTAAAAGTAATCTTCATTGTGCTGATCACATTTGTCTGGATCAAAAGGTTCAATATCTTTAGCTATAAGCTTGAACTCTTCAAGGTGAGGACACTGTAAGGCCTTTTTGAGTGAAGATGAGACTAAGCTAGTGTTGGAATGGACCTGTACTCTCGTGCTGCAGTTTTCTATGGTTGAGAGGTTGAGGCTGAGCAACTTTCATCACTGTCATACCAGTGCAGAGAGGAAGCCAACATGCCCCGTAAGGTTCTAGTCCCCATTTTGGAGGAATGACTATTGAGTGTATATTACGTTTAGTGGCTCAGAAGAACAGGGGGCAGAATGTATTCTAAATGAGACACTGCTCATCTCTTCAGTGTCTGTTGCAGAGGGGTGGGACATCAGGTAGCTATTATAAAGTTATCTAATTCCCAAGGATTTAGGCTTGATGGAAATTGTTTGCATCCTCTGAACATAGAGGGAGTCAAGCTTTTATTCGAGGAGTGTGAGTCGGAGTAAAATTCTTTTTACTCCGACTCACACTCCTCGAATAAAAGCTTTACAATGGCTGAACGACTGGGTTGTGGCAAGGTGTTCAGATCTAAACTTACAGTTCCTCTTTGTACGAGCAGAAATCTAACTGCTGAATGCAGGTCTTCTAAGTAAAACATGGCTTTCTAATTAGCTTTCAGCACCTCATGGAGGAGACAAGCATTGTGCACTTTCAGGGGTTCTAGCTCCCATTCTATGACGGTCTTGGTCTTAGGGACAAGGCTGGTTTGCTTTCCATAGGCAAACATTTTAATCATGGGATTTTGGATGCGTTCTGCACATCACACCTATCATTGAATAGTAAATCTATCTCTTTGCTGCACCCACTGATTGATGAATTCATCATAGTCAGGTTTTAGGCTGTAGGCCAGGGAAGAATAAATTGCTCCATACAATGGTTCTCCATTGTTTGATTGAAATGGAGAGTGAGTCAAAACAGGTGGTCTTGTCAAATGCAACAATGCGGTAAGCCATGGCTTTAGCAGGCTCCTCTCAGTGTAGCTAAGCCTACCCTACTAATGTCGTAGCTTGCACTATGGGGAGTTGCTTTCTGTGGAAGCAGGTGATTGACAGCATCGTCTTGTGGCTGTAGTGACAAATTTGCTTATCAAACTTGAACAGGGCAGAAACAGTCAGAGGACTCTTACTTAAAGTGATTCATGCTGGAATCCATAGCAGTAATATGCAGGTTCCAGCTCTGTGTGTCACAGGTCCAGTGGCAGTGTATTTCATTTAAAAAGACGATTTACATTCACATTTAATTCTGTCTAGACTAGATAGCTTTAAATATCTGATCAATAAGGGCAATAAGGGCTTAAGATGGTTATCAATTAACCAAATTTCTTAAATCCTTTTAACTGAACTTTCATGATGAAATTATTTGCCTCCACAATGTACTTCTTTGTAAGTACAACAGGAGTCCAGCATAAAGACTTTTTAGTCTAAAAGTGACTAAAAAATGAGACTGTTAAGCGGGAGGTTTGAGTGTCTTCTTCATGTGTTTGTCTGTTTAAAGGCTATTTCAGCTCATATGAGGATATGTGGTGCCTACAAATGTCTTTGCTTCTGATTTAAAGTTAGATTTTTTTTCTAAATAAACTGCATCTGACAACAGGAAATTTGTATCAGCCTACCTAAATTAAAAAACAAAACAAAACAAAACAAAACAAAACAAAAAAGCCTGTTTTATACATTTCTTTTCCATCCAACATTGAGATATTGTCCAAAAATCCAAGAATGAAGACTGAGACTGATTAGATTTATCAAACAAAAGCTGAAAATGGAAGGGGTTGAAAAATCCCTCTTTTCAGCTGAGGTCAGGATGTAATGTAGATTTAAACATGCTTGACAGAAAAGGCAGCAGAAAAGACAGCGTAGAACTATAATAGACACAACAAAAGGAGGCTGACTGAATGAGAGTCGGAAATCACTGGGATCTAACAAAACGCCTCAAATCTTCTTTTTTTTTTTTGACATTCATATTCCATTCTGCTCAGAAAATCATGGGTGTCTGAGAGGAGCTCTACCCAGAAGCTATGGTTTCCCAATTGTAATGACTGTGTTTAACTGTCACAGAAGGAAGCACATATATCATAGTAACCCATGCCTGCTTGAAACACTGCCAGCCTAGGTAGGCGTACAGAAATCCATTAAATGCTCCATTTTGAGGTTTTCTTTTATTGCCTAGAGCATTTGCTGCACTACTTACTTCATTTGTCCTTTAAATTACTTCTATTATGAATGTAATCAAATTGGAAGATTAATGAGGAAGAGTTGTCTGGCAATTTATAGTAATAAATCCATCCATGTATTTTGGATGCAATTTACAGAACATGTTTGCCTTGTACACAGAGGGAATAAAATTGGTATTATTTTTATTATGAACCACAATCA